CGTCGTGTCTCTTTCGAACAATGACATCATCTTGCCTAGCGGGAAAGCAGCGCAAAAGTTGAACGTGCATTATAGTAGTAATTGTAGTTGACATAATTTCATTCCTGGAAAAACCTGTGCAATTGGTTAGAGCGAATGCAAAAAGAACCCTGTGTGTTTAGGTAATAAACTCCAGCCATGCCCATATTGGCAAACGTCATATCACCGTAATACACTTTATTCACAGATCATCACATTCTCGAGTATTACGTAAACACCATTTATCTATTTTGGGCATTATTCAACCATCATCCCGAATAATGAAATAAGTAGTCACAATGAATAATGAGATTTTTTGACATCGCTATTGCGCCAAATTAGTATCAGAATACGGTTTTCTCAAAAAAAATTCCTCATCGGATCTCGGGAATTATTAACCGAATTTGGATCGATTCAGAACAAACATCGTTGCTTTAGTGTAGCGAGCTTTTCGATCGGACACGAGACGAGACGACACGACGCTATCTAACGAGAATATGTACCGACCACACATACAGTACGTACATCTTTATTTATTTATTTCATCCCTCTGATTAAACATTGCAAATTCGATACGCCAATACATACACTATACGTGTACATAAAAGGTACACTCGGACATATACCGGACATATTTTTTCTCGTTGAAAGGTGAAGTGTAAACAAACCTGTGCACATCATAATCTCGGTCTCACCAACTTAACTTACCACTGTTGCCACTGCCGTTGCGTTAACCGAAATTGCACTTCCCGAGAATGGTAATTGTTTATGTATCAGACGCAGTAATTTCTTTTCTTTTGGCGTCGGCAAAGTTTGGTAAAACATTTGGTGATAATAATAATAATAATAATAATAATAATAATAAATAATAAATAATAATAGAGGATTCGGCTTGTCGGCTGATTTCGTGATCTGCCATAAGGAGCGATATGATGATACGGGTGTTTTGTTGAGAAACGCTGTCAGAGTTTGAATCTTGAGAAGATGGATGCTTGGATCGCTGTTTTTTCATTGTCTTCTCTACAAAAAGAAACTGAATGGATTTTCTTAATATCGCCATCAAACCTTAAATTTCGGCTGTTCTAAACCAAATCTGTACTTTGGGTGTCACGTTTTTCTTGCATTTTAAATTACGCCCTTTGCCAAAAGTTTTTACGCCCAATCGCCAACCTCCGAGAAAGTTCCAGACAACCTAATTCTCGTATACGAGGGGAAGAAGATGATGAAGTTCCATGCGACAAAGGAAAAATGAAATAAAAGAAGAAAGAAAGAAAGAAAGAAAGAGAGAAAGAAATGAACAAACAATGGAATGCAACTCCCTCAATCATCACCTCAGTACTGCCAGAGACCACCTTCAACAAGAATATACATACGTATATTTGGTGCATTACAGGATCCGCAAAACAAGGAGATGAAAAAAAAAAAGAGTATGCATTCATCCGTGAGGAGAAATTAATAAGATTGATCTCGATTAAGAAAATAACACGTAAATCAGGGGAGAGAAGATAACGTCACGAACCGTGTATAATGAAGCAGGGCAGGACGAACCCGATATTAACGATGCACGCACGAAAAAACACTATTCGCACGAATTCAACGGACAGTAATAGTTTCACTTCAACAAAGACCTTTCTCGGTGTGGTGTTCAGTCTTGGACTTTGGAGAGATTTGTGGCGATACCTTTGTGAGCCATTAATAGATGTCAATCGCTTTCGTGTGAGTCCCATAGGCAATTGGTAAATTGAAATTCATTCATTCGG